GAGATTTAAAGGTTAATAGCAACACTGTTTTGTGATACTTTTTTTTAACGTTTCTTAACCTCAGGAGAGTGAGGGAGGATAAAGGTAGCTTTGGTATTGGGCCCGTTTACGTATGTTAACCCAGGTTACATCCCCAATGTACAAATTCACAGGCCATTGGTTCTTTTGTGATACAAGAACTCATTTTTTCCTAACTCCATGGGCAAAATAGTATTTTAAGGCGGTTTCTTCTAATAACATGTTTAGATGGATGAGCAACTAAAACAAGAAACTTGCTTGACTAAATATAATAGAAAAACATTTTAAAGACTTTAGAAGTCTTAATCTCTGAATAAAAAAAAAATAGAAACCTAACAACTGTTCCTCATAAGGTATTTGTCCTGAGCTTCTGTGATATGAATACCAAAACCTGTTTTAAACTGGGAGGCTCTTCACTGCATGTTATTTTGAAAAATAACCAGAAATTTTATGTAAATATTCATTTTTAAAGCACTACTTAGCTGTTTTTTCCTTAATTTATCAATAACACAAATGAAAATTTACTTAGTTACTTCAATAGTTTTCTGAAAAAATAAGAGCCACTGTTAAATCGTAGCTGCTCAGATACAGGCTACCCTCTGCTTTTCTGAAGAGAAGATTGTGCCGAGTGTTTGGAGCAAACTGTGCAGAGTCCACAACAAACTCTGAGCTTCTGACTGAGCCGCGGAGTCACTGATGCTGCCTGTTCCTTTTTCAGCTTTGACAATTAAGTGTCCTGATAAACCTGAGCAGAAGCCACTAGAGAAAAAGCTACCAGGTAAGGAGCCATTTCTCTTGCCGACAGTAACTTCTTTTCAAAGCAGTTTATATTAAAGGCTTGGCAGCTGCCTCTAGCTCTGTCAGCTAATTACTCCCTTGATGATTCTGGCCTGTAAAGGAATAGATGAAGGTAGAACTTGCTTGACAAAGCCATTTTTCCAACCCTTTTACACATTACTTCCAATCCAGTTGCAAAATCAGAAGGTTGATCCTTGTGTGACTCCTGCTGCTGCTGGTCCCAGAATTAATGTGCAAAGATGAGCAATCAAAGGCTTATTAACTGGCATGAAATGTGCAGGCTGTGCACAGCACGAACCTGAAGGTTTAACAGCCAACTATCTGGTCTGCAATTCCCAATATTTACAGCTCCTATTTTATACCTGGAAAGAGAAGTGTGATTCTAACCGTCACCCACTTTGTATTTACATATTTCCAAGTTAAGCTATAGTGTCTGGAGGGGCAACTAGAATGAACAGATTCTGTGTCAAATAAAGCCGAAGTTTCAAAAAGATGTTTCAGAATCTTGAGAAAACAGAAGACTTACTCAAGCTTTATTCTAAAATAAAAAATCACATTTATTATCACAAGTTTCATAAAATCAGATACAGCTTTTACAAAAATGTTTGATAGAAAAATATTTGTCTCAGTACAATGTGCAGGAATAACTCACTATTGCTGTGCCTTTAGGTAAAGCTTCAAAGGAAGTGAAAGTTTAACCAAAATACCCACTGTATTTGTTGAAAATGTAGGTATCGCCTCTGGCACAAATGACACCCATTCCAGATCCATTGCCAAAAAACCCCATTGTGTAGCTGACACCGACCGCCCTGCAGCTCTGCTGACCATTTGTTTGGGACTGAGGAACACAGGGGCGTTTCTGAGGAGGGTGCTGGCTTCGTCCCGCTGGCAGAGCCCTTCCCTGGCGCGAGAGCTGCCCACAGGCAGGAGCAGAGCAGTTTGTGCCCCAAAGGTCCCTCCGTTTACTGCATTGCAAATACCAACTCCAAAAAGGTGAATTTGGCATATGGGAATCAAAGCACTTAAACAGCAGTAGCATATGCTGTCTGTTCCACCAGAGATTAAACTGATTTCAACTTGATATTAGCAGTTATTTCAGATATAAAAGACATTATTGCAGTGTTAGAACTGAAGCAGCAGTACAGCCTTTCAGATGCTATCAACAAGTATACTCGAAACACTAGTACGTTGCTACAGCTCAGAGATAGCAGCATTTTTCTAGCATTCTGTTTTTCTTTGACAGATTCTATGACTATTCAGCGTGTCAAAGGGTTGCTGTTTCGCCTACTCAAAATACCTGGTTCGGAACTGAAACTGTCCTATGAAAGTTCTAAAGTGAGTTAAAATTCAGTAATTCAACAGTAAAGCACCTGATGCTGCTGGGGCTCGGGGGGGTGAGTTCTCAGTGCTAAACCAGGGAGCAGGGTTTGCTTCAGGAGGGTCTGTGTGCTGTGATTTGAGAGCTGATTTGGTTCTGGTAATATAGGACAGATCCTCCGTGACTGCAACTGCCTGGTTTAATTTTGGTTTACATGAAGAGATTCAGTTTAAATCTGGTCTTCCTTTTTTTTTTTTTTTTTCTCTTCTCTTTCCTCTCTCTCCTTACTCCAGCTGGAAGGAAAAGAAGTTGAGCTGGACAATGACCTAAAGCCCCTGCAGTTTTACTCGATAGAAAATGGAGACTCCGTGCTCGTGAGGTGGTGAGAAGGGCCTCTCGTGACAGACTGAGGGAAAAGCCAGTGCTGGAGGGCAGAGGAGCCGGGGGCTGCCTGCAGGGAGCACCAACAGCTTGTGCTGTGCCGATGATGAACGTGGACTTCAGGCACAGCCCCAGGGCGCTGCGCGCTGCTGCCCACTCGCAAATTAGTCACGACTCTTCATGAAAGCATTTGCTTTGGGGTGAGGAGTCTCCTGGGAAAGATACTGAACAGCCAGTGCTTGTATCCATCAATTAAATAAACTATTGGCAGAAGGGTTTATGCTACATTGCTGCTGCAGTGGTGAGTTTGCTTTGTTTTTTCACGCTGAACTCAGTATATGCTTTAGGTGCAATATCTTTTCTTACAGTATTTCTAGGACCAAATCAGTGCTGCACTGAGAGGCTAAAGAGGCTACTTGTCTTTTTGTTTTTACCTTTTTCCAAAGACCTTAAAGCAAACAGAATTGAACAGCAGTAACTGTGGAAGTACCTATGCACCTTAGACTACTTAAGGACAGACATTTATTGTACCTCCAGCATTAGCATCCTGCAGTGCAAATAAGTTCTCAGCATCCTGAAGGGAATTACTAGTTATTTTACATTCCTTAGTGTTCTGCTGCTCAAACTTATTTTACTTTCAACTGTCTACCTTCACCTTCATATCTAACAATACATTATGCTATCAGAAATCCCTCCGAGTCAGGCTAAGTTTGCAATACTTCAGGATTTGGTATAAGCAAACTTTGATACCGTTCTCTCTAACATGACAACAGTAGAAGCAAAGGAAACACAAATCATAAACCCCAGCTGTCTCAGCCTCTCAGAGCAGCCTCTGAAACAGGGGAGAGCAGAGCCCCTGCTGCAGCAAGGCTTGCCTGGTACTGAGCACAACTCTTAGCTGGACACTGGTACAGCTCTACACAGAGTTAAATCAGTAGTTATTTTCATTTACAAAAGACAGGCCAGGTGCCATTCTTATGTGCATTTATTAATTACAAGTAGTTCTTTGACTTTATATAAAAAGGAGATTGCTTATCTTAAACATTTTGGTTTTGTCTGATCAATGTCTACGCTATAGAAAATTGACAGTATCAGTCCGCTTGTAATTATCAAAAGGGATGTGCAAATACTTGGTACACCTTAGTTGAAACCCAACATTAAATGATCCCTTAATCTTCCTTATTGTTTCCAAAAATGAAGCCAAATAGCACTTCTGCACCATTATGATGTGCTACCCCGCTTGCCGAGTCGAGCGTGTCCCCTCCTCGCACCGGCACGGGTCTCCGCAGCGCTCCTTGGCTCTCCAGAGCTCGCGCAGCTCGCGGGGCGAGTACTGCGGGGAGGAGAGCATGCCGCTCTCGCACGCCTTCTCGCACAGCCACGCGCCGTCCTGCGGGGACAGCAGCAGCTTGCACAGGGCCTGAAGAAAACCTCACCGCCACGCAGCAGGGCTGCGCTGCTCGCAGCAGCAGGCTCTGCACCAGCAAGAGGCACATGCGGAGTCCCCACCCAAGCTACTCGTCGCTTTGGGGGGCTGGGGGGTGGCAGCACAAATCCTTATCTATGATTAACCTGTTCCCCCTCCAGTTTTTAAATTATCTTCTGTACAGCAGGAAGCTCGTGGAGCTTCATGGCTCCATTGCGGCTGCACTGGGTAGTCTGCAGCTGAATTTGAGGTCGGTTCAGCTCGGCAGCTTTTCCAGTGGTGCCAGACTTTGCCTCCTACCACAGCTAGCACAAGCAGCTCTGCATCCATGAGGGCAAGCCAGCACTGCCAGCCACGCTGCTCTTAGTACTGAGACCCCCCAACCCCACTCCACTGAACTCTTCAAAAAAACCCACAGAATTTACAGTAGAGGATCAGGGTTACAGACCGATGTGGTTAACATTAATGAATCTAAATTTTTTGGTCTTGGACTTTTTAATTTTCCACATATAAATATAATTGAGTCTGCAGCTGGATAGATCCAAAAAGATTTCAGTTCTATGGGGCACCCCATTTAACTAACTAACTGGTGACTCTTCTATGGGGCACCCCATTTAACTAACTGGTGAATGTGAAGGCACCTATTGAGTTGAGGCTGAAAAGTTAGGTGCTTAACCTCAGCTCACTTGTGTGTTGGTACCTATCTCCTGCTCCGTATCCACACCCAAGCCCCCAAGAGCAGTCACACATTTCTTTCAAAACCAATCCAGCCGGTTTGTGCCCTTTTTACAGAATAGCAGAGAAGTGGGAGAAGTCATAAAGCAGTGGAAGACACTGTCCCCCAGCTTCTGGAAAGGCCTGAGCCAGAAAGCAAGTGTTACCACAGAAGAGCAGAACATCCCCTGTGCAGAAGCATGTTCTAGGCGCTTATCTTGCCTCTCTCTTTTCTCATCCATTCCTTTTTAAAAAAACTTTTTAATAAGTGTTTTCAGGATTTTTATCTAATGGCTGCTAAGGGTTTCTTTTTGTTTGTTTGTATAATATTTCTCATACTTTGTGCTACTTAGAACAATAGTCATGTTCTCCTCCTATAAGCTCAGAGACTTTCTGCAGACTTACTTGGTATCGCTTGGGTCCTACAGCTGCCATCCAGATGCCCATGCTCACATCTTCACCCTGAGGCAACAGATGTGAGAAAACTGAGCTAACAACGGCACTAGAAAAACATGGCTGTGAACAAGAGCAAGTCACCTCAGCTACCTGCAGTAAACATGGAAAGCTACAATATAGCATTTATCTTAGCAATGTTACATTAATCCTCCCAATTTTCCTGTCATAAAACAGTTGTTTTCACAAGGAAACCATGAACAAAATCTGAGAATACAGCTCCAGGGGTCCTTACCCAAAGCACTTGTGCTTTGACACAGAGCAGAGACACTAGGCACAGTGACCACAAGAGCTCTAAGAAGCCAAAGCACCAACCAGGGGAACCGACTACTAACATCCCCTCATGCAAAGTGCTTTCCCTTTTCCCCAGTACAAACACCGCTCCCGAAAGTAACAGAAGCGACGCTTCAGTACCTGGTACGTCTTTAACCTTTGGGAGTTGCTGGCCAGCCACTGGACGATGTCTTTGGAGATGACGTAGCCAGACCCGCAGGCAAAGGCTGGATACGCGGGACTCGGGTACTCCAGTTCTTGCCACTTCCCAGTTCGATCAACTGCCCAGTTTAGTCTGAAACTGAGGACCGTGTTAAGTGGAGAGGTGTTGATACAAAGCCCACTGCAAAAGCTATGAACACAGCTAGCACCTGAAGTAACACCAACAAGCACTATGGAGAGGAGAAAGTAGAAGGGGAGCCTAATTACAGTTCAGATGGAGCCTTATTTCTCTAGGGTCACACATTTAATCGAACACTATAGCTTAAAATATGTATTGTTTCATCTCAGATAGTAAGAGCAGCTTCTCAAAAACAGAAGCAAATACATCGCTGTCTGACACACCTGCAGCGTGTCTGCACTGCTGCAGTGAAGCACGCGATCCTTACACACACTGAGCGACGGCACAGCCACCAAAACCACGGAAGGGTTGAGGTGGAGGCCACCCCTGCAGACACCTAGTCCAACCCCCCGCTCCGGCAGGGCCCCCTAGAACAGGCGGCCCAGGGTTGTGTCTGGGCACATTGGAGCATTTTCTCCACAACCTCTCTGGGCAGCCTGGTCCAGTGCTCTGTCACCCTCACGGTCAGGAAGTTTTTCTACAAATTCAGGCAGAACTTTCTGGGTTTCAGTTTGTGGCTGCTGCCTCCTGTCCTAGTGCTGCCCCCCTGCACCCCTCACTGCAAACAGCCTGGCCCCATTTCTTGACAAAAATACTTGTATGCACTGGTGAGATCCCTCTCAGCCTCCTCGAGGCAAAGGAGGCCCCTTCCTCTCAGCTTCCCCACGCATGAGAGATGCCGACTGCCATAACCCTGCCAGCACAGCAGTGTCTCCCTCGTTTGCAAGCGGGTAAAGCCGCATGAGCTCAGCCCTGAGCACATGAAGCTTAAAACTTCAGTGAGCAGCCTCACCCTGCCAGCAGCCCTGCGCCAGGGAGGAGGCACTGCCGAAGGGCTGCTCCGAGCCCCGACTCCACAGCTGGAGCTGACAGTGAAAGCACCGAGCAGATAAGGCGGCATCTGCTACGGAGCAGAGCGTTCAGTGGATTGAGGCATCGTCCCCACAAGGGAGCCACAGCAGGAGGGCCCCTCCGGACGGAGGCCACGCTCCTCATCCCGCGCTCCCTACAGTGACTCCCGCCTCAGTTGTTCACTGCATCTCACACTTGTCGTATCTGAAGACCGGGACCGTGAGGGAATCTACACTCAGAAACGCGAGTACCACAAGGTTCTCCACAGACGCAGAGCTGCAAATGTGTTTTGTTCTTTTTTTCCCCTCCCTCCCTGCATACAACTTCTCTTCCTCTTCTTGGTAACACACCAGGAAGAAAATTACTTGATATGTAAGCACACCATTTCTAAGGAAAGACCCAGCAAACTCATTTTTCAGTCTGAAGAAAGAAGTGCTGTCCATTCTCCTACATGTTCATACAATGGCTGTTCTAAGGCAAGGCTAGGAGTCAGTTACTAGGACAGGGAGATACCAGGATATCCTGCACCCCATGAAAAAAAGAAGTTCATATTACAAATTAAACGGATCTTCATGAAAAACTTCAATAAGTTTCTTCTTAGACTTTACACAGACAAAAAACAGCCCCATTCTGAACTCCCAGTGCTTTTTATAGTGCTGTAGGAGAGAGAGCTTCACCGCACTGCCTTCTCGACTCACATTCACCTCAAATTCAGACTCTCCTAGAAAGGGCGGCACGTCCCGCCCTGACACGAATTGGTCATTCGCGGACGTGATCACCGACCCTGCAAAGAATTATCTGTCACGGCAGAGGCAGACTAAGTCTTTGACTACAAATTTAAAAAGACAGTAATAAGCTAAGCTTACTCCCTGCAACATGAGCCCAAACTCTGGAGTGGGGCGCCTGGCCCATTTGTTTTTCCAGCCTGCTGCCCTGCAATGGTCCGGACAAGCTAAGCACGGTTTTCACTGTGGAGCAAGCGCCTGGTAAGGAGCAGCCCAAAGGGCTGCGTACGCAAGGACAACACGGAGAAGGAGGGCAACCTCTCTGCTCTTACACTGCTGTAGTTGCTCTGGAGGAGCTTTCCCTAGAGCACCGGGAAAGCAGCCCAGCAGCTCCTACACAGGGCAGCCTGGGCCTGTGGCAAGTCGGTTCCTGTCTTCCCGCCTGCCTTGCCAGATGAACCAGTCTTAGTGCCACCTTGCGCGGTGGCAGAGCAGGGGCACTGAGCAACGTGCCCGTCAAAGGCCTACCCAGCCACACAACAGGCGCCCACTGCTCCGATCCTCGAGACTATCGAGAGATCCTGCACCCCACTCGTTAACCACGTCACGAGCGCGCGACGCTCCACAGCGCTCTGTGAGGGAGCAGATGGCAGCAGAAGGCCACGCTGTGCCCTCGCACTGTAACAGCTACTAGAGCAGCCCGGCTCTGCGTGCGCTAAGGGAGGGGAAGAAGCCACTGTCTCCATCATCCTGGCTATTCACAAGCACAACTCAGGCCTGGCAGCTCCACTTTAGGATTTTGGAATCAGACTCACCATTTCAGTCAGCAGCAAAATTAATAACAATGTCTGTCATTCACACACTTTAAAATACTAGGCAAACTACCAAGTCAATTCTGTTTCTCCTGTTTGCCTATTTCCCCAAGCCTATCAGAAAAGCTACAGTGGCTTCAGAAAAAGTAACATTCACAAGGTAAGTATGTACTTCAGTTTGCAACTTGACCTTACTTCTGTAATGTTTTTATTTACTTGTTAAAGCCCCATGACAAAGACATGTTCTAAAGCAACGCAAAGCATATACGACAAGCTCAACCTACTTTAAAGAAGTATTCTGGAAAGCTACTGGAAAGTATCAGCTTCAGTATGTGAAGATTCAAAGTCCTACACTTACAATAGGTCAGCTTTTTATAAGCAGCTTCCATAGGCCGAAGAGGGGAACCCCCACAAAAACAGTCCTGAAGTAAATTGCTCACTGAACATTAATAAAAAACAAACAAACAAAAGAGAATCTTTTAAAGACAAGTTGACTCACTTTCCCCACCAAATGTTTGGCCTGTCCAGGTTTTTCTGCGTTATCCTGTTAAAAACAGCCTCCAGATCAATGTAACAGTCATCATCCGTCTTCAGCAACAAATCAAAGCTTGTTGATTCAACCGTCCTGCAGCAAAAAGAAGAGTGATGAGATGCTGAATTGTAGCGCACAAACTACACTTATGCAAGAGACCCCTTTGCAGGGGCTTTGGGGGAAGCAAAGCTGAAAGGAAGAGGGAATGACAGACACTCCTTCCATCAGCTTTTAAATGTTTTCCCTATTGACCAAGGCTGTTCTATAGAGAGGAGATACAGCTGCTACAATATGATCCCATACAGTAGGGATTCGTGCACAAGCTGAAGGGAAAGAACTCAAAGAAAGGGTTTTGTTCTCTAGGACAGATGGTGGATTTACTCATAATGAATCTGTCTTAAACAGTGTTAACCTCACAAGGATATGAATTCCCGCTGATGACTGCGGCACAGCTGTCCAAAGCCAAGGGCTACATAAAGGGTCAACAGTCTAGTCTTCAGGATAAGGACAGTACAACAGGGAAAGGCCACAAGGAACATCCATGGCAACAGCTTTGTACTTATTCTATCTTAGTGAAGTATCCTTTAAATACGAAACACATAATTTTTAACTGTCTGAAATATTTCCATAGCTGTCACTTGCAAAATAACTGAAGAAACTCAAAATTCTAGAGATTTTTCCCTGGTTTATCAACAACCTACGCAAGTTGCCAGATAATGTAACACACTGGATTATCTTGCACTACAAGCCACAGCAGTAATCCCTACTACAGTAATCCCTCTCATTCCAACTCACCATCGGTAGAAGTTCAGCAGTTTGGCTGGAACATTTCTGTAAGTGTCAATAACATCTACAAAAACTATATCGTCATAGACACGGCTTTCTTCTTTCAATAAAGCATCTTCTTTTTCAAGATTTTTTATATGACTTGCAAACCTTTCAGGGCGAGTATGCAGGCTTTTTAGAAGAGCATCACCCTCTGAAAAGAAGCAGCACTGACTGTTAGACAAAATGTTGTACTTCACAGGCTTCTCTTGGATCATATGCAAAATACTGATAAAATGAATCTGAAAATGTGTCCCACTCAATACAGCAAAGAAAATCCAATAATTAGTTTACAAACTTGTATCAACAAAAGTTAAAATGCAAGAAAATATACATATAGACATATATACATGTATATACACACACATGCCATTACACATTTGCATTAAGTCTGATAGAACTTTTATAATGTTTACAGTAAAAAAGTATTTTCTTCCTTTTCAGTAACAAGAGCATTGAACTTTTTAAGGTTATTTAATATAAGGAGTTGTCTGGGGCTGCACTCCCAGGTAGACTAGCGAGGCTGCTCTGTATTACTCCACTGAGTTCTAAGCATATGTATTTGTATTTTTATTAAGAAAATACAGCCCAAAGCAACAAGAAAGCACCTTTGCTACATATTCTCAAAT